GTAAGGTCTCCTGTTGTTTGCTAGAAACTCACACCTCAATTCCATTCACTTCCTTCCTCCTAATCATGGGAATAGAAAATAACAGATCTGCCTCAATTGATACAATAGTTTCATGTATTTGTTTCAAAATCATAGTGGTTTCATAATGGAATGGAAAGGTAATAGTAACGTTAAATTACAGAATGGCTTGTGTAGCAATGATATATATTTTTTTAACAAAATGGAGTTACACCATAGTAATGCCCTCAGATAGTTCTTAAAATGCCAAAAGCTGTCCTTCTTTCATTTACATATTGTACATACTAACATATATTATATTTAATATTGTATACAACAATATTATAACATATAAAAACATTTAATAAAGAGGAAACACTATGTTCCCCTAGGTTTGTTGTTATTGTTCCTTGCACTTACTTGGGTATTTTTTGCAAAATGAATTCACCATATTTAATAAGATAAGGAAAAATTCCCTTGCATACTGAAAACTCCCTTACCAATTAAAGGGCCTATTTGCCTTTACAAAATCAACCCCAGATTGTCTGAAAGAGCACTGTTAATAAGAGATAACTGCTGCAGTGTTCCTTCTTTAGAAAGCACAGTGCTCTGGTAATCCTGTTTCATGTAATAAATGCTTATTGTAAACAAAGATATAAAAGATTTTGCATATATTCTGATTAGAATAAAGGATATGTAACATTAGTTTAAAAGTTGTTTTCACTTCAAATCAAAAATAAATTGACCTCAAACCATTATAGTTTCCCTTTAAGGTACCTTTTCATGTGCAGATAATGTTTAGATAGATGTTAGGCACACTTCTAAACCACTGATATTTCTGACATTTAGCAAGTACTGTGATTGGGTTAATATTTTGAAAGTTAGGTGACCAGAACTCAAGAGAAACCCAGGTGGCCCAAAACGCCTTTATTAATGTTATTTTAAAATAATTTCTTCATTTTTAATGGCAAGGTTTTCTCCCAAATAAAATTACATTTTGACATACATATTGTAACATTTATATAAGCATTTTTCACAAGTCTTACATTTTTGAACACCATCTTTAAAAAAAATATTCAGGATAATGTACCTACATCTATTCCAATGTTTTTATGATGCTTAGTTTCTAAAGCTTTATTGGAACACACTTTACTAAGATATAATTATTATTTTAATACCACTCATTTTTATGTTCTCATAATTTGTCGAAATGTTCAATTCACAAAAACAAATATTGCTTAGGTTTGGAATCATTGTATCAACACCTGAAACAATTTCCTTTACTGCCTTCCTCAATAGGCACCTCAATAAAACGCATTTACTGCCAGACTAAAGCTAGTGGTATATTAAAATACAACTCATAAGATAATCTTTGTCAATTGACTACTACATACAAAATACTTTAAAACAAACCTGTCATTAGGTTAGGGAACTTACAATAGCAGCCCCATGTAAAAGAAGTAGCTTTATACTTACCGCTCCAAAAGGCGGTAAAACTTTGCTTTCTTGAAGAGCCCATCTACTGCTGCAATCAGGCACTTATGGTGTGCCAGACAGCACATCTCTTGCTGGGTGCTTTGGTTCCTCCAGCTGACTCTTACATTTATTCACTTCGGGTCAGCCGAACATGCTGAGCATGTTCGGCTGATCCGAAGCCACACGAAGCAAGCCGATGTACGGCTGATTTCAGCCGATATACGGCTGAAATCAGCCGTACCAGCCTGAAGTGAATAGCCGAACAGTTTCCGGCTCACTTCACTTCTGATCGGTCATTCACTCGGCTGCCCTCGGCAGCTTTGTGAATAGACCCCAGTGTCTTAAAGTGATGTGAGGGTCGGTGGGAGGAACCACAGCACCCAGTGGTGGACATACTATCCAACACACTGCAAAAAGTTGGATAGCAGTACAACCTAGAACTCCTCAAGAGAGTATAGTTTCAACATATTGCCTGCTGTAGTGGTATTTATAAAGCTACTTCTTTACAGGGAGATTCTCTTGTAAGTCCTTTTGACAGTGACAGAAAAAAAAATCAATAACATTAGTACAGTATATAAAACATGTTTATGTTAATTTATGGGATGTGTATGGTAATCCATTTATTGAGCCAAAATATTCAAATTTCAATTGTAAAAATTATACATTTTTTATTATAAATTGTTTTTCATATATTTTTATTATAAATTATAAGGTATTTGTTTGTGAATTGAGCCTCACATGTCATATTTATTGCACCTTTTAGACTTTTGATTTAATAAGTGAATATTGTTTATGATTAGATATGATTAAGATGGCCTTTACATCGAACAATCAATGAGATAAATGGACATTTTAATATTTTTGTTATTCTTTGTAAGATGACTGAATGACTAAAAAATAAATGTTATTATGAACAATATGCATAAAAAATAATACAATAAATAACTAAAAACAAATGACCGAAAATAAGATTTGAAATAAAATGTCATGCAGTACAGTAAAATAACTTAAAAAAATAAAATAATAGCATTAATAAAGTAATTAAAGTAATAATAAAGTAGTTACATGAGATTTAAGCTCGGTGATAAGTATTCCTCATGCACTACAGAGGACACAATATTTGTTCCCTTCAATTTACAGTTCACCAGTTTATCTTGCACAGAAAAATGAAGCTGTGTGAATTAAAGGCACTATGTACATTAAAATACATCAAATAAAATAGCCACTTAAAGTATATATCTTCTCTGTTTTGGTGACTGCTCAGAATTTCCTCTCACTTTGAGAGGCAATGTCATCAGAACAATGAGAGTGAATTTCCTAAGTGAGTACATAGAGAGTAAAAAAACTGTCAGGGGTTACAGGTAGAGGTACACACTTATTATGGAAGGTATAAAAATATAGGTGACCAGAGTTGGGCCTTAAATGTCAGAGTTGGGCTGTATATGTATAAAGTCCAAGGAACTAATCCGCTTCCTTGCCTTACTACTTACTGAGTCACTGGAGTTGATTTACTTAAGGCTGTTAAGGTTACAACGGAATTTGCATTTTGCAGGGGAAGCTTCTCCTTAGTTTATTGAATGAAGTGAAGATCTGCTGAAGCCCATCATCTATTCATTTGCAAGCATGATGTTTTTTTTATTTTCCTTAAACTTAATTGGCTATTTTTTGCAAAGTGAAATTTCACCACCGCTAAAGGAAACATCCTTTGCAAAGTGTAAATTCATGTGCGAAATGAACAGCCAATTTGCCTTTAGTAAATCAACCCCACTGTGTTCAAACAATAATATCGCTCTTTTGCCTAACATAAGCGGCAGACCAAAAGGAGACGATTCTGTCTGAAATCAGATAATCACCGAGCTTCTGCATGTATGACTCCAGTCCAATTCAAGTTGACACACAACATGACAAATGTATTTTATAATTCAAAAGCTGTTGGTTGAAAATGTATTTTATACAGTATAGTTCTCCATCTGGTCCACTGTAAGCATCATTCTGATTGCTTTTTTTTAACACCTTGATTGGCTGGTCAAAAACTAGACTGTGTGCTCCAAAGTAGTTGTAGAAGTCCAAAGTGTTTTATATGAGTTCTAAGGTGCTATAACAAAGAAACATTTTAACTCAGAGGTGGTGCTGGTCTGAAGTATTGCAAATTTCATGACCACGAAATGTCAAGGTGGTTGGACCATAGCACATTTGGCAATATACAGTACATTATCATATGTTATGTTTGCAAATATATATTTTGCAATGACTAAAACTGCATATGAAAAACTGAGGGGACCTGCAAAGGTTTCCAATCAAAAATACTCTCTTATATTCCTAAACAATTTAAGAAATCACAAATAACAAACAATAAATCTTCCATAAACCACATTGTTTTACAGCAGCCCCAAAATGAGATTGCTCAAATGAAAACAGAAGAATGTAGGTGAGAGCTAATAAGCCATAGCCACATATTCAGATCTATACTATCAAGCAGCATGTTTTGCTATAAAACACTTATAATATAAAACCCAGAATGTAGCCAAATCCACCTGCAGATACAGAAAACAACAACAGAGCTTTCAAAATTATGAAACATTCTATTTTTCTTGTTTATGTCCCCTTAAGGAGTATTTATAGCCAAAAAAAATGATATATCGCAGATTACAAATCCTTATATGTGTTGGCTGCATTGGGGTTTTTTTTAGGCTAAGTACACTTTTAGCACGTACAGAAAGTACCTGTTGATCTTGCTAGAAATACAATGCTCTAGTGACCTCATATAAACTGATCTGAAAGGAGAAACACTCTTATCTTCCTTTCAAGCTATCTTCTGTAAGCTACAAGTTCCCCCTTACCCTACCCCCGTGTAATCATGATGAAGAGTGGAGAAGGGGTGAGTAGTACAAATCTGGACAGCAGCCTAGTGTGATAAATATTGAAACTCTCCATGGATACAGTGCATTGAGTGGGCATAGACCACAGAGATAGTAAGTATGTTAACTACAGGATTACCAGGGGAAAAGTAAAGAAAACGAATGCAGTCATTATATCTAAGGTCTGGTAAGCCATTATATAATACATTTTTTTTGGTTTAGGTACACCTTAATTTATTCCTGGTATCTCTTGCAAAGATCCTTTCCATTTCAGATCAATTTATGCAGACATTTATACTATAGTAGGTCAGCATAACTTAATTCCCACAGATAAGACCAACTTAACACTGGTACACTAATTATGCATTTTAACAAGTTTCTCTTCATCTAATGAACATGCCATACTGGTCTCCAACCTACAAGATGACTTAAAAGAGCACTATGTGAGAAAAGTATGCATTATATATTAGTGTAGCACATTTCCCAAACCACAGGATGCTTTTTAACAAGGAAAAAAAAGAAAATATTTTATAAATAGAACACTTTATTTTATAATAAATTAAAGGAATTTTTGCAATCATCTTCAAATTTATACATTTATACTGTTATCAGTCAGACAAACAAACTAAATTAATAAACAAAACCTTTAAGTACAATAGATGTGGGTTGTTTCAGATATGGACACTTTTACTTACAATCGAAAGCTAAGATTAGCCGATAATTGTCTGCAGCAGAGCACTGACTTATGGGTTTGCATCACCAATCTCCCATATTGTATGACATTATGTTGTATCATGCTATGCTTTACTGTCAGTTTCTTTTGTTTGGATGATGTCATTTGATATTTTGATTTCAATTGTTTCAGCACTCAAAGCCTCTTTCCCGTTTTCTTCCTTTAGTAGTAATTTCCTGAAATTAAATATGTAAAAGGTCAGTGAAAAGTCATGACAAAAAGATCACTTAAAGTGATGCTAAACTCAGGAGTTAAATCTTAAAAATGCATTCAAGTACCTTAACTATTAACAAAAATGTATCTTATTTGCTGTAGATCCTCAAATCATCTCTTAATTGGTGCTGACACTGTCCTTCCTTCTGGAGGGTGGCTACTTTTGTTCCCCATGGTCCCTGTGTGTGTTGTAAAGTAGTCACCGCTCCAAGATCACTCCTGTGATGGACTACAATCTCACTTTTAGTATACTAACTTGTATTGAGATTGTATTCTATTGCGGGAGTAACCTTGGAGTGGTGGCTACTTTACAACACATGAGGAACAAAAGTAATCATCCTCCAAAAGGAAGGACAGCCCAAGTTCAGAGATGATGATGAGTGATGCACAAATCAACTAAATTTTTGTTAAAGGTAAGGTACTGAAATGCATTTTTAAGTTTTAACTCCTGAGTTCAACATCACTTTAATTTTTGTCACAGCAAGAAATGATGAGAAATATCTCCAACAAGTACACAGACAAAAACATTTTTTAGTGGAGGGAAGTAGTGTTAGAATGTTTGACAATGTTTTATTGCTCTTTTTGCCTTTCCCTTCTGGTAACACCAACACACTACACCATTTCTTGTAGGTGTTTCAGATGAACACAGAGAGGACAGGGTAGGCTAGAAGTGAGACAACACCTCCCCAAAAGAGTTACAGATAGAAATAGAAATTTGACAGTCACTTTAAATCTTCCTTTATTTTTTCAAAGTTATTAAAACATTGGCTGGGATTAGGCTTTAAACACAACAGACATATCTATCTTGTGTATCTTATGTACTTGTGTATGTTTATATATAGTAATTTCACAATAACAAGGACCTTATGGCACCTGCAAAAACCTTTCAAAAAGGTATGTTTGTAAAAAGCTCTAAATGCTCCATGGACCCCTAAACCGATCTTTCAGTGGGAAATCTGTTTTGCTTTTATTGCTTGGTACATTTTTCACATTATTATTTTTAGAGTCTCAATGCTTTAATGCTCAAATCCAAGTGGATAGTGAAAAAGTGAGGTCAATGTGGAATCATATATTTTTTCCCCTTAGAATGTGGTGGATAAGCAGAAATAGAAAAGGGGAAAAAGGTGTAACAGACATTTTGCTTACAATGGCCCTTGCCTGAAAAATTGACACAAAGGAGCTAATTTATAAAAAAGAGAGTGGATATCGACTCTTTATTATACTACATATTGCAAGTCTACATTGCAGCCTGCATTTTACAGCCCATTCATTAAATGCAGATGCAGTGTGTAAACTGCAATACCCAATGGCGTGTTCTCTGTTTAGAGCAGCAAAGAGAGCTCTGTGATTTGAGCAGAGCCAGTTATGTGACTTTTACAAGATCAAACTCTTCTCCCAGCTTTTTTCCCCAGAACTCTAATTCATTTTTATTGTGCACACCGCTGTGCTTCATAAATGTGAGGCTTTTTTAGCAGAGGCATGAGAATGGTACAGCCATACCACTGCTTTTTAAATCCGCTGCAAATGTTTTTTTCCATTGGGGTTACATTTCTGAAATGACGGGAACAAGAGATCTATCAATACAAAGCGACTTTATCTTAGTAAATAGGGTGAAACAGTTTTTTACTTCGATCAACTAATCATGCTCACAAAAAAAATCATGTTTTTTTGAGTAATCTAGCTACAATGTATTTTATGGCAGCAGCAAGGGGAACCCCCTTTTGACTTTAGATTCACCATAAGAACAGTTTTTACATCTGATTTAAATAATTGTCACAGATGACAATTTTCCTCGGCTATTACTTTTTATCCAACAAGGCAAGTTTTTCTTAAAACAACATATACTTCAGGAGGCTTTAAAATAACCAAAAGTAAAATGAGTCATGTGACACTGGTTGGTGAGACTTCCATCACACCACAAATACAATTTTGCAATACCATTACATTTTGCCTTTTATCACACTTTTTTTGTTTCTAAATCATTTATGGCAGGGGTAACCAAACTTTGGCCTTCCTCCTGTGGTTTTACCACAGCTACAGGACCAAGGGTTAGCTTTTCCTGATGTATGCATACACTGAAAGATGCTTTCCACTTTGCTGGTTTCTCAGCAGAATGAGGAACACACAGAGAAACTGCAACACTAACATTTGCCACAAAACTTGTAACCAGAATTGTAGTCATTAACTTCCCAAAGTACTGTAGATTGTGAACACCCCTGACTGTTGTACTTGCTTTCATACAAAAACCTAGATATAACACCACAGTG